ATTAACCGGACACAACGCGTTAAACTTGAAATTTAAAACGCATTTTTCTCAAATTGGGTTGAGTTTAGGTGAAAACTTATGAAGACAAAACTTGCTTAGAATTTTAGCAGAATTAATCTGGTGTAATTTGTTTTGCAAATTTCGGGTCTGAAATTTTACCCCAAAAATGGGTCATTTTGGCTTTTCTTAGTTAATCAAAAATTACGCCAAAAATACCCAGTCGATCACTTGTTCCCTGTCCCAGTCCCCTTAAGTAGCCCAACAAACTTTAAGAAGGGTATAATCTCCAAAATACTGTATAAGTTAAATTATTTTTGTTTGATAGACAAAAAAGGTCATTTTTACCATATAAAACTCCAATTTTTTATTTAAAAACAATTTTTAAACAATATGCAATTTTTTTTGGAGCAAATACCCTTCTTAAAGTTTGTTGAGCTACGTAAGGGGCTCACTTTGATATAATTATGTCTGTGATTGACTGGGCATTTTTGGCGTAATTTTGATTAAGAAAAACGCGTTTTAAATTTCAAGTTTAACGCGTTTTGTCCGGTTAATTTAAATCAGCACTGTACTGTTCAAACAGAAGAAAACTAAACAGCAGAATAGTGACCGCCGCAGTCGCGCCAACGTGTTGTGAGCCTGCCAACAGAGGGTAGGACTCTATACGAAAATTACAGTCGGTTACCTTAAACCAAGAGCTTCAATTAGTCGGCTTAGTAGTCTTTTGGTACTAACGCAATTGATTTTTTATTTTAGTACAAATGGGACTAACTTATCATTTTGGTACTTGTGAATACCCACCAAGCTTGTAGTCTGATTTGATAATGCTTGCTACTTGCCAGCGTAATTATAGCTGAAAAACTTTAATCTCGGACAAATTCTTCTGAGAACAGAGCGGAGACAAGACAGACAAACAAAGGTCATTTCTGTTATACGGCCCAAAATATCAAAATGTTGATTAAGCTTCTGTTTTTGTTAAAATGCTGGGATTTATTTTCGCTTGATAAAATTTTCAAAATAGCAAAAAGAATAGTTTTTTTGGGGAGAGGGGGAGGCGTTCAACAGTGCCGAAAGAGGCGGGAAATTTTCAGAATAAGTTACACGCATTTTCTAAAGAGAGCGAAATTACTAACGCTAATTATCAAAGAAAATCACTCCAATTTCGGCGCAAAAATGTCTGCAACTGCAAATTAAGCAAATACTTTGGCACAATATCTTAATATGTTGGATTTTGTTTATATTTTTGGCATCGTTGAGCAAAGCTTTTGTTTTCGGCACTGTTGAACTAATTTTTTTTCGGCACTGTTGTACTGCCCCGTTTTTGGGCCATATAACAGAAAAGACCCGCAAAGAAAATTGCACAAAAACTTTCCTTTTACAAAAAAACGGCCGGATTCGAAACACTGACATTGATCATCGCGAGCATATGTGTTGCCGCTATGTTTTGCCGCTATGCGTAAGAGCAGAAAAGCAGAAAAAAAATTAAAAAGCAAATAGTCAAATTGTCAAAAAAAAGTATTACAATTTGATAACGTATATTAACCGCCAAGGTAAATATGGTCTCAGCTTCCTGCTTTGAGACACATTGTGCTTGATGACTATTCTGTTCCATGTTCCACCTCGATTTTTTGATATTTAAGTTTAAGACAAAGTATCTACGAGGGAAATGCCAAACATACGAGCTGTACAACTCATCGCGGCGAACCGCTGGTGTGCTCCTGCTTAAGAACTGTATGCAATTTTTAGGTGATTTTTCTGGGCTGGGAAATGTTGCCTCACCCTTAATCAACGAGCACGGATCATGGTGGGCCTCGAATATCCGACTTCTCGACTTCACCACCGCTCTTGTGATACTCACATAGAAAAAAAGCAAATCAAACATTTTTGAGTAGTTGGCACGGCACATAGGATTTAGAGAATTGACATTTCCTAAACTTAAAAGAAAAGAAATTCACATCTATAGCAAATTGTTGGCAATATCGGTGAGCTTGAGTAATTGAATCGGTCAAAAATTATAGCAATTTAGGCTAATTAATTTTTTGAACAAGCATTTTTATAGCTTTTATCAAATTTATCGGACAACGTATTAAGTTTATGAAATAATTCTGACCTTAAGACCGCGATCGGATTTTCAAAACTGCATTTGAACTGTCAAAAGACCAATGGAAAATAATTGCCTTTTAATTAACTTCTAGCACTTAGCTTAAAAAAATGTTATGCATTTTTTAAACATATGATTAGTTGCAAATAGTTCGGACAGACAAATTTTATGAAAAAAGCAATTGAACTTTTTTAATATTTAGCATGCAAAACTTAATTTTTCAGTCGCAATTTGTTTCTCAAGGTTGTCTGAAAAACAAAATTGAATGCAAAAAACTGTCAAAACGTTACAATTGTTCTTTTTATTTAATTCTGTCTGTCCGAATTTTGTGTTAGTAGTTACAGCTTTTAACAACTATAACGGATAATGTCTTGAACTTTTGAAGTAGTTCTGACCTCGAGCTGAAATTTATTTAAAATAGTTCTTTGAAATTTTGGGTTTGCCTTTTTGCCGTAGTTTGATCGGTTCTTTTCTGCTGAAAAAATGCATCTTAGAACGCTGAATAATGAACAATGTTTTGAAGCTAATGGCTTGAAATGATTCAACAAAAATTCACCTCTAAAAAAGCTCAAGCATTTTGGTTCGCTCTGTTGACAGTTCAAATTCAATTTTGAAAATAGATTGTATTTTCAACTCTATATCACTGTCTCAAAGTCATCATAATTTCACATAATGAAAACGTTTTCCGATAAACTTGTTAAAAGCATTTTGCTACTAATTATAGCTTTTAGCAAAATTAACGGACAACGTCTTAAACTTTTGAAATAATTCTGACCTTCAGACAGTGAAATGGCGTTCAAACTGCAATCGAATCTTCAAAACTGCATTTGAAAGGACAAAAGAACAATGGAAAATGATCATCATAATTTCAGATAATTAAGACGCTAAAAAGACGCATTTAGAACGCATTTTAAACTTGTTAAAAGCATTGAAGTAAAAATCAGTGAAAAACAGAAATCCGACGTGAAAATGAGCAGTTTTTGGCTAATTAAATTTGATCAGATTCGTTGACCGCAAAATTATTGCGAACAATTTAGCATCAACTTAATAGCTTTTAACAAATTTATTGGACAATGTATGAAATTTCTGAAATAATTCTGCTTTTCTAATATAGACAAAATCAAAATACTTCTTTGATGTTTCGTGTTTGCTTTTTTGTCTACATTTAATGTGTTTATTTGCTCTAAAAAATTACATGACAAATTGTTGCTGACTGAAATTTATTTTTCAATTGTGCTCTTGAATTAAGACAAAATGAAACTCTCCGAAAAAGCGCAATTATTTTGCATAGTTCTTTTGTCAGTTCAAAAGCAGTTTTGAAGATTCGATTGCAATTAAACGCCATTTCACTGTCTGAAGGTCAGAATTATTTCAAATATTTAAGACGTTGTCCGATAAATTGGTTAAAAGCTATAACTATAATTAGTAGCAAAACGTTGGGACAGACAGACTTAATTAAAATGAGCAATCAGTGCTTTTCGATGCTTTTTTGCATGCAAAATCTGAAGCCGAACAACCTTGAATTTTTTGTCTGGCCAAACTCAAAATGCGAGATCGTCGGATATCCGATGATAATGCTAGCCTAATTTTTAAATACTGCAATGAAAATCCCGATTTTACTGTAAAACAGTTAGCAAAATTAGTTAGAAAACGAAACACAGAAAAAAAAATCAGATTAGGCCGCACCAAAAAAAAATGGCAGTGAAGATGATCAAATCATTTAAAATTTGGAAACTAATCGCAGAAAAACAATAGCCAACCTGAGCAGTAGTTTTCCTGTTTCAAGGTTTACTATTCGACGCTTCGGATGCAATTGCCCGCCGTGGTTATAATTTTCGAGCAAAACTCTGCTTTATGAACTTTCGACGTTATGTTTAATTCAGTTTTAATTTCCGTTGATGTCTAGACAGTTGCTCTTTTTAATTAATTCTGTTTTCCGAACTTTTTGCAACTCTTTATATATGAAAGTTTCAAAAATTCGGACAGACAGAAATAATTAAAAAGAGCAATCTGCCAAATTTGAGCAATTTTTGTATGCAAATTTGAACTTTTAGCTGACATTGAGACATACTTTTTGTCTGAAAAATTAGCTTTTGAATGCAATTTTTTTCTGAAATAGGTCATTCTTGCTTTTTTTACATAATTTTGTCTTTTTTTACACTTTTTGCCACTAATTATACTTCAGAAAACGTTTGCATGCACAAAACATGCAAAACTCAGACAAAATTTATGTATCAAGGTCACCTTAAAATTTAAATTTGCGTCAACTTTTGTTCTCGATCGGCTCTTTCTTAGTATAGAAAGTTGCAAAAAGTTCTTGCACGGAATTAATTAAAAAGAGCAACTGTCTAGACAGCAACGCAAACCAAAATCGAAATAAGCATAGCGTCGAAAGTTCATAGAGCAAAGTTTTCGCGCAAAACCTATAACCACAAAGGGCAATTACATTCGAAGCTTCGAATTGTAAACCTTGAAACAGGAAAAATTTTGCTCAGGGTGGCTAATCTTTTTCTGCAATTAGTTTCCAAATTATGAATGATTTGATCAGCTTCAATTCCGTTTGATTTCATCGCAAAATTTAAAAATTAGGCTAGTATAATCATCGGAGAATCGACGACCTTGCATTTTGAATTTGGTCTGACAAAAAATTCAAGGTTGTTTCGGCTTCAGATTTTGCATGCAAAAAAGCGTCGAAAAGCACTGAAAGCTCATTTTAATTAATTCTGTCTGTCCGAACTTTTTGCTACTAATTATATATTTGTCTTTACCAATTTTGAACTTTTGATATTATTGATCTGCTCATTTTACTTAACTTGACCAGTCACATTTGCAATTTTTAGCAGATTTTGCAATTTGTTGCCATTGTCATTTTTAATTCATTGTAGAGTACTAAATTTAAGTTATATAGATTAAGGATCTCAAGTTTTTGTATATCACATTTTTTGTGTTATTTCTGATTTTACTAGCTGTTGAACAAGCCTTGATAAATTTGCAAACAGTCAGTTAATTTACTCTCGCGACCGTAATTTTGATAAAATGAATAATCAAGCAAAAGACGCTGGAGAAAAGTTAGATTTATGCGTGTTCTACAACTTAAAAACAGGATGCTCCCAAAAATATGATTGCCTCAGTCTGCATTTTTGTCATATTTGGCTTTTCGCAGAATGCTTTCTCGGATCCCTTTGCGATAGATCACATAATTTAGAAGATGAAAAAATCAAGCTGCGGAAACATGGTTTTCATCCAAAGAATCGTTCTGAACTTCAGAAAATCCTCGAAAAGTCAGATGCTGTTGGAGCGATCTTAAAGCTGCTCGAGCGATCTTCGAGCAATCCTCAAATGATGTCATCTTCAAGCAATCGTAATCCAGAAATTTGTCTTGCTTACAATCTTCCCAAAGGGTGCACATCGGATTTAGTATGTTCTTATTTACATATATGCAAACCATTCACATTGATGTCATGCAAGCGCGAAGATAATTGTCCTTATGAGCACAGTTTGTCTGATATAGATAAAATGAAAATTCGGAGACATAGATGTCTGATTGACTCAAAGGAGCGTCGCGTGCTAAGAGATCTAACACAGGCGGTCGAGAATGATGCGAACGTCGGACATTCATACCAACAGAAGAACCCCACCGCGAAAAATTTAAACGAAGCGTTCCAGAAGGACGCTAGTGTCGAACAATCATACCAACAGAAGAAACCCACTTTAAATGATTCAACACAGGCATTCCAGAATGACGCGAGCGTCGGACAGTCATACCAAAAGAACTCCGCTTCACATGATTCAACACAGGCATTCCAGAATGACGCGAGTGTCGGGCAGTCACAACAAAAGAACTCCGCTTCACATGATTCAACACAGGCATTCCAGAAGGAAGCGAGTGTCGGACAGTCATACCAAAAGAACTCCGCTTCACATGATTCAACACAGGCATTCCAGAATGACGCGAGTGTCGGACAGTCATACCAACAGAACTCCACTTCACATGATTCAACAGAAGCGTTCCAGAATGACGCGAGTGTGGGACAGTCATGCCAACAGAAGAACTCCACTTCACATGATTCAACAGAGGCGTTCCAGAATGACGCGAGTGTCGGACAGTCATACCAACAGAACTCCACTTCACATGATTCAACACAGACGTTCCACAATCACGCGAATCTCGGAGGGTCATACCAACAGAAGAATCTGGCTTCGAATGATTTAACACCAGCGCTCCAGAATGACGCTAGTGCCGGACAGTCATATCAAAAGAACTCCACTTCACATGATTCAACACAGGCGTTCCAGAATGGCGCGCGTGTGGGACATGATTTGCCCGAAGTTTGCAGATTTTATAACAAACACTTCGGATGTAAGAACAAAAATAATTGCCCCTATGTTCATCTGTGCAAGGACTGGGCTACTTCGAGTTGTGAAAATGGTTCAACATGTCTCTTACGACATAGCTTGTGGGCAAAAGATGTTGACATTCTCGAATTCAGAGGTCTCACCGGAACTGCTGAAGAGCTTGCAGATGCATACCGCATACGAGCAACGATAAAAAATCAGGTTACAAGTCAGAAATCCGTGAAGTTTGAAGCACCCAGCGTTACAACGTCTTGCTCAGAAAGGCAAACAATCAGTGAAAAAACAGCTGCAGTTCCTGAGAGCATCGATGATATTTGCATTTATTACCTTCGGAACACATGTTGCTTTGGGGACAAATGTTTGAGAATTCACCCTGTCGGGAAATCAAGTTTTTGTTGGAGATACAAAATGAAAAATGATGAGAAATGGCTTTATTTTAGGCCAAAGTCTAACAAAATCCTGGAAGAGTTTTACTTGGATCCTAGCGCAAAAACGGTGGAGGTCGAATCAATTTGGATGCAGTTCCAATTCAAACTAAACGTTGACTTTGATACAATGACAGCTGTTGATGATAATTTTGTCCAGATATCTAGATTAGCAGTGGAAAAAGACTGGACGTGGTACCTGGAGACTGAACCCGAATCAAACAAATGGGCCAAATTCGGTGCTCAGTATAATAAAATCTATGTTACCTCTATAAGTTCGGCCGATATTGAAGAAAAATATCAACAGCTGACCACTATTTCGGAAAGGGTGATATCCTTTTTCATTTATTGTGCGGAAGAGAATTGCAGTAAATCGTGGAATTGTATGCTAAATGTTGGCCAGAATGGCAACGGAGTGGCGCAGGGAATAGCCTGGAATTTGACAGATGGAAGTATGATAAACGTTTGTCGCAGGCCTCGAGATAACGTCCAAGAAATGGAAAAAGCCATCGATCAAGGTTTGTTTGGGTCTAAATTGACTGAAAAATGGAGAACTGGCGGGTTCCAGAAGTTTAAACTGAAACCAAACAGATATATCAACTTCAATGACTCTATAGACGCTTACTTCCGATACGCCGAAAGTCACTTTTTGCGCCTAGCTCAGTTATGTGGGTTGCGTGCAACTGTTGATTACGTGGACATGTTCATTAATCCAGAACTGGAGTCGAAATTTGAGGCGAGGCGAAAACATCTGGGGCTTAGCAGAGGAAAAGAGTTCACTCGAGAGATTCTAGTGCTACACGGGACCCCATTGGAGGATCCAGAGCCAATAATGAAACACAACTTCTCTCTGGAAAAAGTGAAGAGATATCGGTATGGATTTGGGATTTACTTCTCTGAGCATGCGGATTTGTCCATTCATTTTACAGGAGGTCATAAGGGAAGCTTGATCATGTCGAGAGTTTTGTGTGGGGTGCAAAAGGACGCGAAACAGTGTCCTGTTATGACAAGCCAGATCAGACAAATTTGTAACGACCATGACGCACATACGGTCGACCAGGAAGCAGGGAGATATGCGAGGATAACAATCATCCAAAACGTGGACCAAATACTACCCGTGTTTGTCGTTCACTGGAAATATACCTAATAGAATAACTGCAAATGATTTTAAATAGTTCTAAGTTCATATTTATCGAATTCTATTAATTGGCTGAATCCATTAACTTTTTTAATAGATTGGGAGTAAGTCAAAAATAAATAGAATTATTTTATGGACCTTTTTTACGCATAATGAGTGCATTCAAGTTCAATTTATTTCATGATTAGGTTTATTTCAGTTCATTTCAAGAAGGTATAGGAAGGAGATTGTCTGCTGATCGATAAGCTAGCAAAAAGGAGAGGCCCACGGAAGGCTAATAATTGGTTAATTTATTATTAACATAGAAAAAACTGAATTTCCAAATAAAATCTGGTTTTTTCACAATAATTGAAAGTATTGATATTCAACTTCAAAGCACACATTTGAATTTCCGAATCAAGCACATTATGTTTGAAGACCTAGATGTCTTTGTCGAGTTGATTCGGTTTAAATTTGTTTAATCAAACCCGAACCATCAATTTTCATTATACATTATCTTTTGAATATACCAAAAAAGAACAGCTCCGCGGAGTTTTTTCCTATAATAAAATTGTACGGTGAACTTTTTGAAACGCAAGCGCTATTTTTGGTCCGTTTTTCTTGCGTGTTCGAAAATTAATCATGTTTTGGTGGAGCTTGGTAAATCAATTTGTCAACCTAAATTTCGCACAAAAATCATTTGTTCGGAATGAAAAAAATCATTTGTTCGGAAGTTGAATAAAGTGATTTGGATATTGAATGGTGTGATTTGCAAGTTGAATATCAATACTTCAATTGTTAATTGAAAAACCAAATTGTGTTTGAAAATTCAGTTTTTGCTGTTAAAAATAAAATAATCAATCATCCATTAATTGGTTTTCCTAGGTTTACCAAAACACGATTAATTTTCAAATACACAAGAAAAACAGACCAAAAATAGCGCTTTCGTTTCAAAAAGTGCATCATACCATTTTATTATAAATTTCGTTAAATTTTTGTTGTCAGACGGTGATTGCTTGTGAAGATTTTTGTGCGAGTTTTTAGATTGACAACTTGATTTTCCTAGCTCTACCAAAACACAATTAACTTTCGAACACAAGAAAAACAGACCAAAAATAGCGACTTCGTTTCAAAATGTTTATATAGCAAATAATGTATAATTATAATTGATAGTTCGGGTTTAATTTTACAAAAAGGCGTCTGAGAATTCAGCTCCTGACAAGACCTGACAACAAAAATTTAGTTTTTCTATTTACAATTGATGTTAGTGGTAATTCTTAGAAACTTGTTTTTTATCGCAATTCTATCCAAAATATAATGTATAATGAAAATTAATGGTTCGGGTTTGATTTAATAAAAATGGATATGACAAGACCTCGAAAAAGACCTCGACAAGGACACAAGATCTATACCTATTATAGACGAGCTAGTCCAACTCATCTTAAGCGAAACATTACGAGACCTAATTGTGATAGGCACACAATTTAGTGTGTACAGGTCACTGGATTCTAGAGACAAGTCTTGAAACAAGGCTTTGAATGAGCCGCTCACAATTCTCAAAAATTTTGCAGTTTGTCGTTGCAATGAAAACCTCAGCAAAAAACACCAAGAATCAGTAACAGAGTGACTCTCAAATTTTGTTTTGAAAAAAAAAAGTAAAATTCAAAGAAAAACTAGGCTGACATACGATGGTCCGATGAGTTAAAATTTCTCAGAATTTTTTCTCAAATAGTCATGAGTTGGAAACAAACAAAGTCCGACCGGGATTTCAACCCCAGTCTGAGGATCCACAGATAAATGCTTTTATCAGCTTAATAAGTGATATGAGACCTCTAGGGCATGGAAGCTCCACAAAAAAGCAATTTTCCTTTCTTGAGATTAAAGCAGTTGTTTTCTGGAAAAATGTCTAGTTCGCAATTAGAAGTTACCTGCTCTGGGTGAAATGTGAAATGGTATTTCAATTTTTTTATAAAATGGCTGTCTAAGTAAAAATGTTGATTAGTGTGCCCTTGTGAAAAAAAAAACAATTTTGTAGCTAACTACTTCAAGAACCGGTTATTGAAACTCGCAAGTTTGAACAGCGTGTTTGTACCCGCAAACTTAATTGGGCAAAGTGACTCTTTCAAGCGTGATAGAAATTGAGAAAAAATTTGGGCTAAATTATTTTTCGCATGAATGAACACCTAATTGATCCCATACCGCATGCTAAGAGACATGCTTTTTGCTACACTACACACAAAATTAGTTCGCTTTCAGATAAGTTTCAAGACTATTTTTTCAATACTTCAAGTCCACAAACTCGAAAACAAATTTCGTTCAACGAAGCTCAGCCACTCAATGTGTTCAGAGCAAAAATTTGGGTGTTTTGCATAACAGCACCCTCACCACAAGCCTAGTAACAGTACAAATTATAACCCCCTTCCCCAGTTTGATAGTTTTTAATTGACTTGAAAACAATCGCTGTGCTTTCATTCAAAATTGCATTCATGAAAATGCATACATAATTCCTAAGAACTGGACTCAGCATAGAGTTACTAGTAAAAAGTAGACGAATAAATATGCAAATGGTGCTTAAATGGTTCTATTTAATTTAATTACGAAGAGGCTGCATTTCTCTAAAGAATATAATGAGAAAGGCAAAAAATTAAAACGTCGGCAAATCAAGCAAAAGCAAAGCTTCAAATAACAAACTTTATGGCAAGTGTTTTTAGCAAGTGTTTGCTTTCAGCAAATTATTCGATCAAAAAAGCGTTTGTATTTTATTTTTGTTTTCCCACCATTTTCTCATGCCAAAAAAGTCAACAAGGGATTTCAAAATCACAAAAGCAGCTTCAGTTCACTAAATTGTTTCAAGTTCCTTTACTGAACAAAATACTGCCAACTATTTTTTTTTAATACATTAACTATTTTTTTGGATTAATTAAGTTAAGGGTCAGAAATATTTTGCAACTTCTTGAGTTTGCCCGATAATTTTTCTGATATCACCCAGCAAAAGGTAGTATTGAACTGAAAACGTTCTGAAATGTTTCCAATGCAAAGCTTTTTCGGACAAAAAGCCAAAACTAGTTTGTAAGACTTTTGTATAGAATTGCTTTTAAAGTCAAAATCACAACCTAAAATTGTGCGTTATTGGTAGATTGATTTCTTTACTTGAATTTTTGTCTCTGCAAAACTTTGACCATTATCTAAATACAATAAAAAACAAACCTAAATAAAAAGTTTATTCCACCAAATTCAAACAATCTTCCATTTAGATTTGAGTTTTCACGCGACGTTCAGACCTAAAATCTGACCCCTTTGAGCAATTGTTGCAGGCAAATTTAGGTGACTTTGAGACATACGTTCTGTCTGAAATTATAATTTTGCTGTCAAAAAAAATTCTGAAATAGGTCATTTGCTCTTTTAAATCGATTCTGTTCATTTCAATTTTATGCAACTCTCTCAAGTGGTCTCACGTGAAACTTTTGTACGCAAAAAAAAGGCTTTGAGTCGCAAAAAAAACGTTTTGTATAACAAAATAACTCAGTCTGAAATGTGGGGAAATAAGAGAAACGCAGAAACCACAAATATAACGACTCACCTAAAAAATTGTTTAAAACTCAAAGTCTCAGCAGAAAAGTATAGATTTTTTTTTAAAATTTCGTCTACTTCAACACAGATGCTACAATGCAATCATAAAAACATGATTCCAGAAAAAACACTTCAAAATTGAAAAAAGAGGGGGAACTAACTTTTCTATTGTCTCGATGAATATCAGTTAGAGCCCGGTTAAAGCAGTAGGCACTTGTCTGATATTTTCTGAGTTTGTTATACTGATGGGGGATCAAATACATAATTTCAAAAATTGGACTTTGCCCAATGCCTTACTTGCTTCTCTACTAAAATAAATGAGAAGAATGAAGACATCATTTTTCTCTTTCAAAACATTAGAGGGACCCACTTCTGCAGAAAACATTTGCGCAACCGCTTCTTTCGATTGAAATTTTTATCTTACATTTGATAGGGTACTTTTAAAAATTTGAGTTATCGAAATCAGTAATTTTTCTGTTAGTAACAAGTCGGTGGTGGGTTAAGAAGAGGAGAATCTTAAAATCGGGTTTCACGATTGAACACTCAACCTGAGAGTTGGTGCAGTAATTTTCGAGTAAAGTCAAAAAAAGGACAAAGTTTCAAAACTTTCACTTGTTTGAGTATCATAATTTTTTTCTGAAAAAACTGGAAGCAGCAAATAATGAAAGTAAGCGTTCAACAATCTATGTCATCGATTAAACCTATGAAATCAGATTTGGCAGAAAAGTTATCGAGAAAAGTCCAAAAACGATCAACAAATAAGAAAAATGACATTTTCGAGAAACATAGCCTTTTCCGCGTAGCCACTCATGCAAAAGAGATTCAAATCACCTATTTTTTTGATGGAACCCAAAAACCAGGTTTGGCACGGTAGTTCTCGAGAAGAGTCAAAAGTTTCAACAATCGGTTGAAAAAATTAAATTTTTGACTCCTACGAAGGTCATAATTTTTTGTGTCCTAAATTTTGGGCGTAGTTGCATATGCAAAGGGGCTTCTCAAAACTCGTTCTCTGGATTGCACTCAAAACCTCAGATATGGGAGGGTCTTTTTTGGCAAAAGTATTAAAATTAAAAAAAACGCTCGAAAAATCACTAACTAACTTTTCCGAGGACGATGAAATCTTGTATAAAAAATTTGTGAATAGCCGTTAAAACAGGAAAGGTTCCCACTATCTGTTTATTCAATTGCACCCAAAACAGCAGGTTTGAGAGGTTGGTTTTTGAGAAAAGTCAAAACTATTCCAGTTTCACTAATCCGAGGGCCATAATTCATGTGTAAGTAAATTTTGAGCGTAGCCGCTCAGAGAGGGGAGATTTTCAAATCGTTTTTATTCGAGGAAACCAAAATTTCAGATTTAGTCGGTTAGTTTTTGAGAAAACAAAAGAAAAATCAAAAATTTTGGTCAAATTTCCCCCGCAGACTTTTTCGAAGGCAGTAGACAAAGGGGTGAAATAAAAAGATATCAAGGAATTATGCAGGCATACAAGAGCGTGAGGAGCGTGGAGACTTTCTATGGATAAAGTCTTTTGAAAATTGGTTAGGAAACAGTGATGAAGTTTTCTAAAGAACAG